GTTGCCATGACAGCAACATGTAGCGCTTTTTATGGAACAGAATTTCTTTGAGAAAGGTAATGGTTCAACAATGACTGGGAGGCCACTCGCAAATCTACTTACACATCTGATATAGGTAGGTATGTGAGCGCCATGCTGAATCCTGCAGCGCCATGAAATGCTGGTGAATGTGACGAATCATATCTCAAGTATCCACCATTGAATATGATGACGCTGCCCGTTTGGGACGCGGCCACAGAGGTGCGCGGAAACTGATCCACTCTGGTCAGAGCGGGCAGTCCTGTCGCTCCTGGGCAAGTGCTGTTACATTGCAGTAGCGAACAGGGCTCGCTGATTCTCCACGCTGCTGAGCTATGGCTGCAAAACTCTTGGCCCGAGCACGTTCCGTTCGTCTGCACCGGTTTTCCCGTGGAGAGGCGCTGTCCTGCTGGAAATACTCCAATGCTATCACACGGCAGCGCTGCCAGTATAATTACGCATACAGCAGCAACCTTGACAGTCGCCAGGTGGTCCATAGCTAGAATTCTGCCCACTATTATTCAATTACTTCATTAGCTGGCCACTTTGCTGTCCAAATCAGAACAATTCACTTTCCGAAAGTGAGCGGTAGGCGTTGCCTGATCTCAGACCGCTTCACCGCATCTTCCATCGTCTACATGTGCTCAACGGTTCTTCAGGCCAAGGTTCAATTACCAAACAGCAGCCGATGTCCCGCTTATCCTCAATAGCCAGAACGATCAAGGAACGAAGAATGCAAAATATTGCTAAAGGAGCACCATTTGAAAATAGTTCTACCCGAAGTCGTTGCATATTACGTTATGTAAATGAAAAATCGGTACTCATGGGTAGATCCACTACTAATACTACTATTAATTTAGTACTATTAAAGTAGATCTTCTAGCGCAGGAATAAATCTGCATAGATCTGACATCGGATGCCAGATATGCTCTCGTGACGTCTGTGCCTGTGGTCAGCCTCGACTGCCAACTACTTACTAGTACTAGTACTACTAGCAGTACCTCTACACGACTTGACTCTTGAGTCTAGTCTGTCTACGGCTACCATACACTCGCAGTGCAGCACCAGTGCAGTACCAATAATAATTATTATGTCAATATGTGACTGTCACTTGTCACTCAGGTTCGACGGCTTTCGCTCAAGTCTGGATGGGAGGAGTCAGTGCTCCACTACCTGGAACGGTTACCTACCACCACACACATCGAAGCATTCTTGCGGACTCAACCCGCCTCTGTCAGTCTGGAGTCTGCTGCTCAGTACTCCACGGGAATCCCCGGGAAAGGAGCAACTGGGATTCAGGCGTCGTCATGGTGCCTCGCGACTTGTGCACGAAAATCGTGTCTTGTACATGAAGTGTTGACTGTTGACATTGTTGAGTGTTGTACTGACACTCTGTGCCTGTGGCAATGGTAGTGATATACAACTAATTACTTAGCTCAAGATTCGAGTCAGATAAGAGACATGAGACTCAGATAGGTGACCGTAATGATCATGATGATCGATGATGTCCTACAAATTGCTCTGTCAGTCTGCCCATGCTGACGGTGTACTATCAATGATAGACTACTACTAGTACACTAGGCCTTGACAGATTATGCTAGCATAATTTTTCGCATAATTCCTACCAAAATCGAATAATCGCATAATTCGAGGCAAATTGCATAAGAGTCGCATAAAATTGGAATAATCCGCCTGTTCGCATCAAATTCCATACAGTTGTACATGTTCTACAAGTACAAGTACAAGTAGATGCACCAGGAAGTCGTAGGTTTACGACTCCCTTGAGAACATGTCCAGTTCACTACAATCAGTGACGGTAGTAGCTAGGTCGGACGGTACGTTGACCCCATTGAAATTTTGCTACTACAGTACAACGCCCTCTACAAAAAAATTCCCCTGTTATTTTGCACAGAGCCATTATACATTGGCAGCATATGTGAGCATAATGTGGCATATATAATATGATAACTTTTAGCATAAAAATAGCATAATTCTGCAATTTTTTCAGCAATGCGAAAAGCATAATTTCACGAAAATATTAGCATAATCTGTCAAGGCCTATAGTACACCATCACTGCATCAGAGCATTGTATCAACTATCATGCAGCAACGCCTTCGTCCTTGACAAAGCTGATCATCACGAGAGGGAGTAGTTCCATACCAGTCGCAAAGAGATGAAGTCCGTGTTCTCACCATACCAGCAGATCTTATGTTATACTAGTATTGTAGTATACTACAGCTTTCTCTTGCTAAAGCCAGTAAGGGCTACTTGTACTTCAGAAAGACAACGCTGTTGTCTTTCAACAGTTTTGCTCCTTGACCCCCTTTTCGTGCAACTAACACTTGTGACAATTCTAGTGTAGATCTACTGGGTGGCCTAGGCCGATTCTAGCAACCCATTTCATTCACATGACTGTTGTGATTCTTCACACCCTCATACATGTACCAGACCGCAGCAGGCTAGGGTGTGAGGCTCTGCTTT